ACGAAACCTCTATTTTTGCAAAGGAAACTTTGAACGGACGACATTTTTGCTGCCAAACTTCGAAACAGCAATATTCTTGAAATTAACCCTAAACAATTTTTTTTTTGAATGATTTAAAAAGGGCCAGAATATTCTCCTCCCTCAGCTACGGTTGTAGACAACCTTTTCCCCACCCCTCCCCACCCTCGCACCACCCCCTCCCCCCTCGCCAAGAAAAAAGAAAAAAAGAAAAAGAGAAGGACCCGGATGTATGATCGCCTACCGCTCGTACCGCCGAAGGTGATTAGACAAATACTTCGACTCACAGCAAGCATACATTCATTTCAATGGTAAAAAAAGACAATCATAAACTCTAAGCCCTAATAGATGTGACCTTAACCAATCATTGAGTTCAATTCCTATTGACGAAAACGAAAAGCTGGTTTATTAATCTTGGTCAAACTGAAGAAAAAAAAAACATGCTCACAAACTGGTTTGACCAATCGCAACTTCCGTTATCGATTCCATCCTCCAATCATCATTCAATCCCCAAGCAAAAATTGGAAAAAAAAAAAGGAAGAGAAAAAAAAAGAAAATCCTACGCTCGCATGTGCGTAGCTCTGCCAATAAGGACTTCACGCCTACCACAGAAGTGTTGCAGGCTCTCGACGTCTCGAAAGTTCCATCTACCCGTCTTACCCCGAACATAACGCACATGCGTTGTGAACGAATACACGTGTGACGTTCGGGATAAGATGGGTCGTCTCGTGCCGTCTGACTAAGCTCTTATGCACTCGAGAAAGTACGAGAGTCTAGTGTAGCGCAACGAGGCCCAAAGGAATGCACACTACTATCGACAATATTGACAATTCACTAAGCAATTCACACAGCCATGTAACTTCATCACCGCCTCTCATTCATTTCTGCATACTGCATAAGGAATTTCGTCGGAGCACAACCATCTCAGCATTCGCTTCTATCCTCCCCGTCACTCCGAAGGAGCGGAAACTTTATTCCGTCCGTGCCCTTCATCGCGCAGGACATTGTCCATTCTATTCATCTATAGGATAGCTTTACATCACGAAAAACAGGAAAAAGGAAAAAGAAAAAACACAGTTACTATACAAAACAAAAGCAAGTCCAGTCTATTCATCTATAAGAGAGCTTTTACTTGTCACCCCAAAAAAAAGGAAGAAGACAGTTACTATACTAAACAATAGACATGTCAATTCTATTCATCGACAGGAGAGCTTTACTATATCACCAAAAAAAAAAGGAACTATACTAAACAATAGACATATCCATTCGATTCATCGATAGGACAACTTTTTTTACTATATCGAAAAAAAAAAGAAGAAAAAGACAGTTACTATACTAAACAATAAAGCGACTATACCAGAGCCCAGCTTTCGCTAGACTGCCGAGATTTGCCGCCCATGAAAGATGGGGAGAACATTATTAATTTCAGAAAGGGCGCAGCCTTCCAACACACACTCATTACGTGTTCCATGCCGTCGTCCCTAGTAGTACTCCCTACTACTTAACAGTACAAGGCAACGTAAGAACCGAAAACAGAACACACAGCATGAACATGAAAAAAACACAAACTGCAACGACAACATCTATACTATCGCCCGTCACAACAGTATCAGCTTCGATTACCTTGAACTTCCTTCCTTCTTATTCTATTTCATCTCCATCTTTCCAATCTTCTCCTCCCTCTTCTTCTACCGCTTCTCCTACGTCTTCTACTTCTTTTTCGTCTTCATCTCCATCTCTTCGTCTTCGCTGTCGTCATCGTCATTGTCGTGAGCAAATGAAAAAGACTGATACCATCACCAGATTCACCACGGTCAGCAGCAATTCCTATTCTTCGTCGTCTTCTCTTCGTCTTCCTCGTCGTCTCTTCTTCTGCATCTTCTTCTTATCTCTGTGTCATCTTCTTTTTTCTTCTAAACAGCATGAGAAATTGAGAATCGAGTCTCCTTCGGCGTCGTATTCTCGTCTTCTGTGTCGCCTTCTTTCCTGGTGCACACCATGAGGAGGAGGATAAGTTTTTCAACCACTCTCCTGATGCACACCATGAGAACGAGGGGAAGTTTCTCATCCTCCTCCTGACCCTGTCTTGAAAAAGACTTCGAAGTGAGTTCAAGTCACACACTGTCTTCTCTTCTTCTAAGCGACTTCCTTTTCTGCGTTCTCTTCTCTTCTTCTGCCTCTCTTCTGCTTCTAGACACTGGCAGCAGGAGAACGACGACAGGTATCACACACTCCTTGAATCTGGCCTGCAAGTTGGAGCAGGTTCTTGCAAACTCCGCCCTACCTCACCCTACCCGACCCTACCCTACCCCCCTTCACTTGGCTGGAGTAGGGGGAATTACCAAGGCGTCACCCTCGAAGATGAAATCGGGATCCTCGATCCCATTGACCTCCTGCAGCCTGGCCATCGGGACACCGAACAAGGTCGCGATGTCCAACAACGTGTCCCCCTTCTTCACTACGTATATTTTCGGAATCCAGAGGACTTGACCTGGCGAAATGTTCTTAGGGTTCAGAATGTCGTTTGCCTCTACCAAGAACCGACTGTCAATGTCGAATTGCCTTGCTATGCTTTCTAATGTATCACCCACCTTGACATCATAATACACGTTTCCTTTGATGTCGCCTCCAGCACCGGCGTCGTATCGTGTGCCTCGGCCAGGAAGACAGTCATCTTTCCTTGAACGAAACCAGTTGAAGAAACGAAGAGGATTGCGACTCCCGTGCACCGACGCCATTACTCGAGCAGAGGCTGATAACTTTTGACTACTAGTCTACTTCTCCTTCTCTCCTGCTGCGCCTGAGCGGCGCCTCGTCCTCGTCTGGTCTGGCTCCTCCTCCTCCGCCTCCGAGTTGGATCTGTCCTGCTTGCTCACCTCCTCAGCTCTGGTCCGATGTAGCGGTTGCATGTACAGCACTTCGAGGGTGAATCTGAAAGTGATCGCCGTCGCTGCCGTGAAAGAATGCCCATTTGAGCTGCTCATATATATACCGAAAATGTTGCCGTGTTTCCAGCAGGTGAAGCCCCCACCAATGGACTGGACTGGAGTCATCCGCGAAAAATCCTCGATCCCAGGGTTTCACAGGATGGTTTTCTGAAGGGAAAAAAAAGGACGGTCGAGCTTTTTTTTTTTTTTCTCAGCCCTTACATCCATGAACTGTTTAAAAAAAAAAGAAAAAAAAAAAGAACAGTTCGAGTTTCCGGGGGCCAAGTCCCACTAACAGCGTTGAGTTTTCCTCAAGGACCTCAACGCCTGAATCTGGACACGTTTGTGGCGATGTGCGGTTGAGGAAACTCAACGCGATTTCTGCACATCTCAACAAATACGTCCAGAATCAGGCGTTGAGGAAACTGATACCACGCAGGGCGTGGGGGCGCAACGAGGACGGCAGGGGCTCGGCAATACCACAGAAAAATGTCCAAATGCTTCTGGAAAGACACGGAGGCAAAATCACGGGCATGCCAGCGACCCGGGGCGTGGTCCCACTAGCAAGGAGGATCGGATCGAATGCCTGAATCTGGACGAGGTTATGGAGATGTGCAGGAAATCGAGATTGAACTGCTTTTCCGCATCTCTCCATAAAACCCATCCATATTCAGGAGCTCGACCCTATCCTTTTTGCTAGTGGGACCTCGCCCCCGGGGAGGTGCGGGCAAGTTATTCATATACTGTGCTTAAATACTGAAAACCGAAAAGAATAAAAACCAGAAAAAAGAGAAAAGCGATCCGCATGCATCTGACAGCAACTTCCTCCACCCCCAGATCAAGCTTCAACTCGATTCCTGCCCGGCTGCGGATAAGGCAGTGTCCGTATATTGACCGAGTCCAGTAGGCGGAACGGTTATTGACCGAGTCCCGTAAGCAAACAGTAAAGAATATTGACCGAGTCCAGTAGGCGGAACGGTTATTGACCGAGTCCAGTAAGCAGAAAGTAAAGAATATTGACCGAGTCCACGCAGTGATAGGCTATTCGGTCCAAAAAGTCCAGCGGCCTAGCTCAGTTGGTTAGGCATGCAAGTGGCATTCAGGAGGTCGTGGGTTCAAGCCCCATGGCCGCCTGCAGCGCACTTAGTGCCAATGGACCGATACCCCTGATCGGTATTAGCGGGGTCTATGACCAACACGGGTGTGAGTGTGAGCGCGAGTGGGTTGTGTGTGGTGTGTGGGAGAGTGTTGGCCATAGCCTCTGCTGCCACTCGATGAAGGGTGGGGGACGATGAGAAAGGGAGGCACAGCTACTGGCAGGTCTCGGGCTTTGTGTTAGCCAGACCCCCACTGGCGGCCCCAACCCTATACCCTAATCCATTAGGGGCAAGGGGCAACATGAAATCTCGCCTTCACAGAGAGAGGAAAACTGTGCTTGCAGGGGTCCCCTCTAGATAGTCTTAGGAGTAGGTAGTGGAAGGCAAACAAACAGAGGTTGAGAGAAGAATATAGACAGTTGTGATCACCCCAAAGAAAGAAAAAAAATATTCGGTCCAAAAAAAAGGAAAGAAAATGCAAGGGCAGTCCAGGCAGGGGAGGGCCGCGGGCGTGGCACGGACTGTAGACCAAACTGCTCAAGACTGTTGACCTAGTCCAGGCAGTTAGTAACTTGGTAGGCGATTAGGTCCAAAGAAAAGAAAAAGCAAGGCAAACATCCGTTAACTTCGGAACGATGCAGAGAATGAAGATTAGCAAATGGCCCCTGCGCAAGGATGACACGCATAAATCGAGAAATGGTCCAATTTGTTTTTAACATAAAAAATAAAAAAAGGTAGGGTGCACCTGTTGATATCGCACTGACCTTTCCAATCTTTCCGAGCTATAACCAGCAGTGGCGAAGTATACGCTGTCATCCTCCCTGATACTCCTTATATATACGGCCCATCCTGCTCTGTGTCAGTGTACCGCTGTGTGCAACGCTCTGTTTTGGTGTAGCGCTGCGTCGAGGGAGGCCGGTGTAGGGAGCCAGTGCGGAAGGAAAGAGGTCCGTTGAGGTGCGGTGGTTTAGAATTGTTCCATAGTTTGACAACGTTTAGGATCACTTGGTGTTGATGCCACTTGATGGTGAGCAGCTCGGAAGGTCGGGGCAAGTTCTTCGTCGTCGGGGGAATGATGTGAGCGAGGTTGGGAATCCGTCGGCGAGGGTCGGGGAAATGATGTGAGCGAGGTTGGGAATCCGTCGGCGAGGTGGGAATGCAGCAGCGGTACGTGACGTTACGTTCGAGTTGTCTCTTGAGCGGTCGAGTTTGACTTTGACATCCGATTCCTGACGCTATTGGTTGGTGAATGTTTGACTGCAACCCGAAAGCGGGAAGGAAGGCAATCAAACGAGAGACGGTTCTGTGCGGGTACGCGACTGTGTTTGCCGTCGTCGTGAGATCGATAGAGCCCTCGTATCGATTGGTTGGTTGCATTTTGAAATAATATTTTGTGCGTGTACTTGCTTTGAGCGCGCGATTCGTATGGAGAAGACCGTGGAGATGGCGGGACCGTCGAGGGTCGTTGTTTGCCTGTCATCGGTAATGATGATAATGGTGATTGTAGTGTCGCTGAGCACGTCGGCTTTTGCCAGTGCGGACGGTGATGGTGCTGCTTTCGAGTCGGGATATGGGGCGTCGACCGGCGCTCAGCATCATGAGGGGCGGAAAGGATTTTTCGAGCATGGAAAGCCGAAAGAGGTGGTGAAGAGTGAGGGGGGCTCTTTGTCTGTGTGGTCGGAATTTAAGGAATTAGAAGCGGAGGGTCGGAGCTTCGCGGCTGCCCACTTGAAGCTGGAGGAAAATGGATTCCTTCTCCCTGCCTATCCGGCCTTTCCTCATGTTCTGTACGCGATAGAAGGTGAGTCGCTGCAGATTTGTTCGCGCTTATGATGGCAGGACGAATGAATGCGGAGGAGGAGAGTGTTTTCTGTTCTCGTGAGAACGATCTCCGGCTCTTGAACTTCGCTACCCTTCTTCCCCTGAGCAGAACGTACTGTAGTTTCTGATGAATTCGGACGAGAAGGTGAGCCAAATACGCCTACAAAAAGCCGGCAATGGCCGTACGTTCTATTCGGGGGAAGACGGTAGTGAAGGGAAGCACATATTGTTCTATAAGAGTTTGCGGAAAGTAGTTAGGAAGGGATTATGTGAAACTTAGGCGAAAGAATGATCAGAACATGTTGTGTGTCTCGTGGTTTTTATCAGAACATGTTGTGTGTCTCGTGGTTTTTGGTTTTAAGTGCTTTAGTTACTAATCGGTATTCACGTTCTGCATGTATCCTGTGTGGTTTGTTTTTCGGTGTATTGTCCATTCCCCGTGGGTGGGTGTTTTGGATATTTGCGTTGCTGATGTCTCTCCATGTTTTCCGGAATTTGCTCTTCTGATTTCTGTTCTAGGTTCGTCGTACGTTGGTCTGATGGCTCCTCTTGGCGTCCCCGCGACCATGACAAGAATCAGCAAGGGGGAAGTATTGTCCATTCCCCGTGGGTGGGTGTTTTGGATATGCAATCACCGTCCCGAGGGTCAGGAGGCAGAACGGTTTGAAGAGCCGAGAGGAGTAGAAAATGCATCGTCGCAGTCGTCTTCCCGGACGTTCGAGGCTGTCGTTCTGTCCGGAGATCCAGAACACGTTTTCAAGGTATAGTCTGAACTTCCTCCCAAGCAGGTTGTTGTAGGTATATCGGACTTAAGATGACAGCTCATCGTGTCCGCGTACTCGTGCCGCTTATCGTGTACGCGTACTCGTGCCGCCCCATCCGGTTGTACAGTACAGTGGACCTCATAACAATGTGGTTATTCTGTGTATACGTAACGATCTAAGCTCTTTTTTTTTTTTTTTTTTTTTTTTTTTAAATTACCTTTAGCTCTCTTGATCCTCACGACTGAGGTGCTAATTGCCTAAATAGATTGTTGTCGACATGACGAGCGGAACGCTTCGAGGAGGATTCATGAAGTAATGAGGGTAAATAAAAAAAGTCAAATATAATAGCTGTCGATCTCTTCGTCGTCATTGTCAGACGTTCGTTGTCAATGGCAACTTCGTAATCTGTGCTGCCTGTTGAATTTTTATTTTGGTGTGATCCTAATTGGTGCTGTCTGTTTTTTTTTTTCTATTTTCTTCTTCTTGTGGTTGGCGGTGATCTGAACGGTGTTCCTTACCGTTTAAGTCTGTGTGGTGAGTGACAGATATGTTCCCGATCTGTGTTGTCGTCGTCAATGCAATTTTTTTGTGTAGCTCTTCTCACGGCCAGCAGCTTCGAGCGATACGTTGCATACGCATGAAACATGTTCATGTTAGCCTAGGTGATTCTGTATCTTGTCGCTTATATCTCTGCGTTGTAATTTGTGGAGCTCTTCGCATGGCCATCAGCTTCTCGCGATACGCATGAAAGAGGTTAAGGTTAGCTTAGGTGATTCTGTCTTGTCTCTTATATCTCTGTCTTGTCGCTTGTATCAAGGTTGCAGCGGAACTTGTGTCGCACCTTTTGATCGTGGGAATTCTTTGTGTGTGGCGACCGGCTCCGTTTCGCTGTCTAAACTTCTCTGAGATACGCAGCCGCATCTCAGGTAAGTTTAGACAGCGAAACGGAGGCAGCGAAACGGAGCCGTATGGAAATATTATTGCACGGATGCGTGAGGGCATTGTTTCCTGAATGTATACACGCTACGCGGTCGCGATGGAGCTAGGCATGATGAGGGTGTGGTGTGTTTCTGGAAGGATGGTAGTCATGGTCTCTCGCAAATGCCCTGTGGACTCGTCAGGATCTCGCAAATGCCATGTCGACTCAGTTGGTGCTGCTGGTGTCGGTGTGTGTGTGTGTGTGCGTGTGTATGTTGTCGGAATATAATTGTGGTTTCCTATCTGGGTGGCAGACACAGGACCGGTTTCCGTTGGCAGATGCACCTCGTAAGCATGGCGCCGAGGGTGAAGAGACGGAGGTGGGTGGCAGCATTCTCCACGGTTTCAGCAAGGACGTGTTGGCTGCAGTGTGGGACGTTGATGAATCTGACGTTGATAAGCTGCTGAGCTCCCAGAGTGGAAGGGTGATCGCTAAGGTAAGATAATGTGCTGGCTGAGTCTGGGACGTCGATGAATGTGGCTAAGCTGTTGAGCACGCAGATAGGGAGGGTTCTCGAAATCCCAGGAAGTTCTACACACTTTATGTTCTCTTCTACAAAAAAAGTTCGTTTCCTACCTACACACTTTATGTTCTCTTCTACAAAAAAAGTTCGTTTCCTACCTTCTTCCCCCGAATACAACGTATGGTCATTATAGCTGTATTTGAGGTATCTTTCAGTCCAGATACAGCTATAATGACCGTACGTTGTATGCGGGGGAAGAAGGTAGGTCATTTCGAGGGGTAGTCCATAAAACAGTTCCTACTCCTTTCACCGACTACCACCAACCGTCGGTTCATACTCGGGAAAGTCCGACCCGTCATACCGTCATGGTAATTTTCGTCCAATCCCTCAGAAATTTCTCTCTAAACATCTTTCCTTATGGTTTGTTGTCGTGCCCAAATTAGCTTGATTTTGTGGAGCGAGCACCTCTGCTGATACACACACATGCTGCTGATGAGAATCAGCCCTATTGTGTGTTTGCCTGTTTTTAGTTCGCACGACGATTGGTGATCCTCCGTCGCTAAATTTTAGCGGGAACTAGGGCGGTTTGCCGGGAACTGTGACGTTATCTGATCACAGATTCAGAGTCATTAGGATGCATGATTTATTTTCTTCAAACATTGTCTGGATAACGACAAGATGAGTTTCTACTTCTGGTTGGCTCACATTCGTGTTTATTTCTTGTTTTAATCTGTTCGTCGATATTTGTCCTTCCTTTGGTTGGCTTTGGGTGTGAAGGGATCATGATAACTGAAGGGTGTATGTAAATGTGAACCATCAAGTTTTACTCGTTGCGACGTGTGCGTGCACCGTACAGATATCAATCCATAACGTGAAGGTCGATCTGTGTTGAACTTCATAGACAGCGGGGATAACGACCTCTACGTCTCTCGCACGGAAGTCCCTTTACCTTGGAATTTATTTATTTATTTATTATTGTACCATTTCTCGATTTATTCGTGTCATCTCTGAGTTTATCGAATGTTAACGGTGTGAAGGTCGATCTGTGTTCAACTTCACAGACAGCGGGGATAGCGACCTCTACGTCTCTCACGGAAGTCCCTTTACCTTGGAATTTATTTATTTGTTTATTTTATTGTACCATTTTTCGATCTACTCGTGTCATCCTTGCGCAGGGGCTGCCAACCTTCTCTGTATAATTCTGAATTTATCCAAATTAACGGATGTCCCGAAGGATGTACCTAGGGAGTTGTAAGAGATTTTGTGTGGAATTAATTGTGCCTCGTGTTGCGGGTGCCACTGGATTGTTGTGTACGTTGAGATTGTCTGGGTGGTATAAAGATGAATGGTTCACATGTAACGTATATTCCCGATTTCCGAATCGGAAGTACGTCAAGTTACGCATTCCACAGGAGGTGTTCGACAGGTCGGTTTCGACAGTAATAGACGTAACGGTTTCGTTGTGTTTTCTAATCGAGCCGTGGACATGACGATGGTGCACTGAATTTTATACAAATGTGATTATGCTCAAGCCGGTATGTCTGTATGGGTGCTTGGTTAGCAATCCAGGTCGTTCATCGGGTGAAAACGGCCCCTCTCTCTCCTCCTGCTGTGGCGTTAGTGTATTGAATATACTTATATGCATATGCTCATGCCCGCGTGTCATTGTGCTTGTAGGTCCTTGACTCCTAGGTAAGAAATCGAGGTCGTTCATTGGGTATCGTTTTTTTATTACAAATGAATGAATAATGAATATGTCGGATCCCTCATGATTGTGCATGTGGGTCCTTGGTTAGCCGTTCATTGGGTATGAATTTTTTAGGGAAAAGTCATAAAACCTCCCCGCGACGAAACCTTTGTTTCCATTTCCCGTCAAACGGGAAAACGAGTGCCGCAGGTCCAAAAATCACCCAAAATCACTGTTGGTTACTAATTTGCACCCTGGCTGGGCCGGTAACGGCCGCTGTGTAAAAATGACGGGAAAGTGGTTTGTAGGGTGCAAAAATGACGCCGAAAGTGATTTTGGGGCCTGCGGCACTTTTTTCCCCGTTTGGGCGGTAAAGGGATACGGAGGTTTTGTCGCGGGGAGGTTTGTCCGCATGTCATTGTGCTTGTAGGTCCGTGGTTAGCATTCTGGATCGTTCACTGGGTTCGGGGAGGTTTTATGACTTTTCCCAATTTTTTATGTATGAATAAATATGCCCAAGTCCGCATGTCATTGTGCTTGTAGGTCCGTGGTTAGCATTCTGGATCGTTCACTGGGTTAAATTGGCCTCTCTCTCTCTCTCTCTCTCTCTCTCTCTGTGTGTGTCTGTCTGTGTGTATATTTCCCAGATTCGTGAACCGGTTTGTGTTCTGAATGTGAGCTCCATCGCAGTGTGTAGAGTTACTAGAGGTTACTCACACCGCGTTGCCGAATCTCTGAGGTCATAGTGTGTTACGTTTTTGTCGAACTTGAAGAGCGAATAGAGGTGATAGTCATTCTTTGTCCGGTTAAATAATGCTTTGATGAGCGGATTGGCAGGGATAGAGTAGCTGCTACTTGGTGGTGAGATGCTTTTTCTGTTGAATGGAAGCCATCCTTTGTCTGGTTGACCGAATTCACCGAAGCATGACGAAGTGACCGTAATGGAGTTGGAGTCTGTTTTTGTTTTAAGTACGCAATTAAGTGCCCGCCGAGTAATTGCAGGTCGTTAAAATTCTGTTTCGGGAGTTTTCGGAGTGCTGAAGTGTGTCATAACGGTCGGGATAAGTGCCCGCCGAGCAATTGCAGGTCGTTAATATTCTGTTTCGGGAGTTTTCGGAGTGCCGAAGTGTCTGTCATAACGGTCGGAATGTAAAGACGATGGATGGTTTACTATGAATAGAGTTGCGGACTGAAGTTTTTTGATTGAGGTGGCAGAGTTTGGTGTGGCTGGCTACTGGGTAAGAATGGTCATGGTAGTCTCCCTAATGAAGTTGGTGTTACGTGAACTCTGTTTCGGCGGGGCTGTTGTAAGTCTCGGGTTTCTTATGAGCATGCATGACATGGGTGGATGTGGAGGATGAGGTACCAGTGCGTCGGTTTTGAGGTCTTACATTGGTCAAGTACTCTGTTTAGTGTCTGCGCTCTGAGTCTTGTGTGTTTGTAATTGGGTGGTACGACTGGGAATGTGGTGAACTGGCAGATTGCGAAGCAAGAAAACCCTGGGCTTTGGTCTTACATTGGGCAAGCACTCTTTTTAGTGAGCTCGTTTTAGTGTCTGCGCTCTGATGTTTGTTGGTTTGTAATTGGCTGGTACGACTGGGAATGTGGCAGATCTCGAAGCAAGAACACCCTGGGCTTTGGGAGGAGATGGTAAGCAAGCTATGGCGGTTGGAAGTTGTGGACACATTTACTAGTCTGGCTGGCCGGGTATTGGTCCATCATCACGAACGGCACGTGGAGGTCGCTGGAGCTGCTGCCTTACTGGGGGAATTCGTTTACGATCTGGATCATTCTAGCCCTGTTGTGTCGAACGCGGGAGGGCAAATGCGGGCCGTCAACAGAAAATTGCTTCCGGCCCTCGGCAAATATGGCTCCGACTTTGCCGTTGCTGTCGTCGAACTGAAGCAGGTAAACATGTGATGTATACGGAAGGGGAAAGTTGGCCAGAAGCCTTGATCTCCGGTGTAATACGGACTAGGTGCCCGAAGGTGGGATGAATTTGTGTTTCTCAGACGTTTTATTTCGGATTAGAGTTTGTGCACAAGTTCGACTGCAATGGTCTCAACATCCTTCTTCCAACGACTCATGGTTCTCCAAAAAAAGCTTTCATGGTTCTCCAAAAAAAAAAAAGAAGTTTTCATGGTTCTCCAAAAAAAAAAAAAGCTCAACATCCTTCTTCCAATGAGGTTTGTTAAGGGTTAATAGCAAAAATATTGCTGTTTCGAAGTTTGGCAGCAAAAATGTCGTCCGTTCGAAGTTTCCTTTGCGAAAATAAATAGAGGTTTCGTTGCAGCTCTATCGGGTTCCGGTAGTTTGCCAGCAAAAATACCTTGTTTTGCCAAGTTTCACAGCAAAGGACCCCTAGGCCCCTGACCTCAGGCACTCTCACTCAGCGTTGTTTTTTTTTATTTATTTATTTTTTTGAAGGGGGGGGGGGAATGGCCGACGTCTGGGCATGCCCACGGCCGAGATGCCTCGGCCACGGCCGCGAAACAAAAAAAAAGAAAAAAAAGAAAACGTGACCGAGGTATCTTGGCGTGGCCACGGCCGAGATGCCTCGGCCACGCCCGCGGGGAAAAAAAAAAAAAAAAAGAACAGCTGAGTGCTTGAGGCCAGAACGCTGAGTCCCTGAGTCCCTGAGGCCAGGGGCCTAGAGGTCCTTTGCTGTGAAACTTGGCAAAACAAGGTATTTTTGCTGGCAAACTATGGGAACGAGATAGAGCTGCAACGAAACCTCTTTATTTTTGCAAAGGAAACTTCGAACTGACGACATTTTTGCTGCCAAACTTCGAAACAGCAATATTTTTGCTATTTACCCTTGTTTCGAACCACACCGACAGGGACGTTTGTTTGAAACTAGTCCGACAGGGACGTTTGTTTGAAACTAGTCCGACAGGGACCGTGACCGGATTAATACGGGGGGGGGAGGTTAATGCCCCCATTGTCCTGGCCTGTGTGAAGGAAAAGGAGGAGGTGTCTTTTCTTTTTTTTGTTTTGTTTTAAAATTTAAGGGAAGTAATTTCTGTTTGTCCTGGCCTGTGTGAAGGAAGAGGAGGAAATGTCTTTTCTTTTTTTTGGTTTTGTTTTAAAAAGAAGGGAAGGAATTTTTGTTTGTTTTGGGAAGGCGAGATCTGTTACGCTTGGTAGCCGACCGGTAGAATTTTCTGAAAGCGATTGTCATTCTGTGGCGCTGTTTGGGCATGTGCGGCCCTTTTGTGATACTCTGTTGTCGGGGAAGTCGAGGATGTTTTCGGTTTGTTTGTCAGTGTGTTTTCTGTTTGCAAGGTGTCTTTTCCTCGCTCGTATTTCTCTTAGGGAATAGGTGGCTCTCTCTCAACTGTGTTTTGTTTGCCTGCCCAATGGTTTCTTTCAGTGTTTTGTCAACACAGACTCAGCGGCTTGCCACGGAATCGTAGTCTGGTTTGTGAGTCCACTGAGTCGTGACCCGTGAACGTCGTGGAGTCGCGGTTACACGAAACAGAGCGGCGTCGAGATCGCGAAGTACGTGGCTGAAATCTCTAGTGTGTGAATCACTGTGGAATCGTGTGGATGTTTATGTTCGCCTGTCGTGAGACTTGAGTGAGGACGATGCTGTCAGCTTGAAAGAGCTGTTATGGACTGCTTTGTTGCACTTCCGTTGTGCACCGTGTTGACGAATACAAGGCTCTAATATCTAGGTGTGTGAATCATGTTTTTTTTTTTTTTTTTTTCTTGGATGTTATTGTACTCGCCTGTATCATGGATGTTTCGTTTTGGTAGGCGCCTGTGTGCGTGAGGACAATGCACTCAGCTTGAAAGAGCAGTTACGGATAGCTGTTTAACTGCCATTGTGCACCATTTTGATGGGAATGACATTTGTAGTAGCCGCTATGTGCGGTGAACGTGGTTGAAGTTTAATCCGAAGTGAGATTCTCGAGTCGGGCTCTGATGTTGTTTTTCCGAATTTACATATAAATGAAAAATAAACGAAGAATTGAGTTGGGCGTTAAGTTGCCGTTATGATTATGTAGGCGTGTTTTTTTTGGTTGGAAAGAAATGGACGATGTCCGAATGAATACCGTGGCTTCAACGAGACCTATACGTTCAACGAGACGTATACGTTAAAACTGAAGTGCCCGTCTGAGCGGTCTCGGAAGGGTCTGGAACATGGGGGTTAACCAGGAGTGGCGTAAACGAGACGAGACGTCATCGGGGTTAAAGAACAGTTAAAACTCGAAACTTAAGAAAATCGGTATCAACTACAGAGGTCGTTTGTTGCGAATAATCGCTGGTTAGAAAAAAAGAAAACAGCAATGTTTGTGTAGATTTGTTGTCTCAATTTCGGGTGTGATCTGCATGGCTGTGACACTCGTGTAAAACAGAGCGGGATGGTGGCTCCTGGATGGTGTGTGAACGCCGACGAGGTTGTGTATGTGACCAAGGGTAGTGGAAGAATTCAGATTGCCAATCCCGATGGAACGAATGGTCTGGACGCTCACGTGCAACCGGGATCGCTGATCGTCATTCCACGTCTGCATGCATCCGTTAAGGTATGTCGAGGCTGGGACGTCCCTAAGTTCTTTGAAGATCGACCTGCATGCAATACATGATATTACATGTCTATTTTTTCTTTTGTTTTTGTGTCCATGTTTTTTTCTCCTGTTTTGGCGTCTCCATTTGTGAGTTGTGTATGTAGGATATTGAACATTTTTCTTCTGTTTTTGTGTCCATGTTTTTTTCTCCTGTTTTGGCATCATTATGTATGTAGAATATCATTATGTATGTAGGATATCGAACATATATTTGAGTCTCCGTAGTATAAATGAAGGGAAGTCGGGAAAATGAGATAATTTACTCATGGTTGATTGATGGATTGATGGACTCGGGGGTGTAGAGCTAGATGAGCCGCGGTGAGCGTGCTAATGTGCTCGGTCTATCTTTCGTGTTGTACTGATATGTGTGCGACCGTACGTCAGCATTGCGTGGTATTTTATTGTGCTGTGGCGTTTTCGAGCTGGATATGCACGCCCTCTGGTGCTCTGTGCTGTGTGGTCGGTGCGGTGTTTGGTGGTTTCGTGTTCGATTTTCGTGTCATAGTGGTGATGTGTTTGATAGTTACTTTTCACGTTGAATAGGAATGCATGGTATTTTATTGTGGTACGGCATTTTCGATCTCAGTATGCTTGCCGTCTGGCGCTGTGTGCTCTGGCGGGTCCGGTGTTTGGTGATTCGCGTTCTGCTGATGTGTTCGAGAGTTTCAAGTTTAGGGATTTTATTTTGTTGTGGTGTAGCATTCTTGACCCCTGGTGCTCTTCAATGATGTTGGGAAAAGTATAAAATCCCCCCCCCGTTGTCCCCCGCCCCCTCCCCCCCCCACCCCCCAAAAAAAGGGGTCCTAGGTCCGTAACATGATTTATGTCTTTCTGCATCCTGGTTGGGCCGGTAACACGAGACTGAGTAAAGCCCCACGGTGCGAAAATGGTAGGAAAGCTTCTAAGGCTGAACCACCGTTGTGGAATAATGATGGGATTTTGTTTTTTAAGGGCCTCGCACACTTTTCGGCCTGAAGGGTGACCAATTAGGGTTTTGCTGCGGGTTCGGTTTGTGTTTCCTTCAATTGTGACCGGGTGACCCGTTTCCATGGTTGGTGTGTGTGTGTGTGTGTGTGTCGGTGATGATGGGTGGCTGGTGTGCAGGCTGCCTCGAAGAATGAGGGGCTGGAGATGATATCATTCACAACGTCCGCGCTGCCCTTCTGGTCAGATCTAGCCGGTCATAACTCCGTCCTCCACAACATGCCGGCCGTTGCGGTGAAGGAGGCATTCAACATTCCGGAAGACGTGTGGGAGAAGTTCCGCAGCAGTAGCACTGCGAGATATTCCATTATTCTCCCTGCTCCGGAGTTTGCGAAACATGAATAGGTCGCTGCTGCTAAATGAAGTCATGATCATCATCATGGTCATGGCCAGAGCACGGAATATCAAATTCAATAGGTCGCCACGGGAAGCGAGTTGTGATCATGATCATTGTAAAGGTCCGTGGGCACTAGAATTCTTTTCTTCTTATCACACGAGGTGACGAGGGGTGTGAAGTCGGGCAGTTTAAAATGCACGTGTATCACTGTAAAGGGTGAGGGGTGTGGTGCGGAATCTGCGGAATGTGCAGAGGGCAAGGATCGTCGATGGCATGGAAAGTATCGATGGCATGGAAAGTAGTGTCCTCGCTGACATGGAAAAAATGTGTAGAAGTTAAGCAGTGTGTGACTCGTGATGACTCGTGAGTCGTGATGCAGTACTTGCAGTGAAACTCACCGAGTACATGACCACTGCCGAGTTGGACCGAGTTGTTGACGATCGGTTGGTTACGATCTGCTCTTCTAGCTCGATCGGTTGGAAGATCATGGCAAGATCCGAGAACTCTTGTCACTCTTGGGACATTGGGACAATCAGCCGACGGATGTATATGTGGGAAGAAAAAAAAGTATAGATGGATGAAATCGAAGAAATGTAAGAAAAGAAAAAAAAAATGGAGAAAATAGAAGAGTAAAGGTGTGGGGGAATTGGGTAATGATAACCAGAGGCGGAGTCCCACAATGTAGCAGCGTTGATTTCCTTCTCTCGACGGCTGAATCTGGATGTGTTTGTAGGGATGTGCGGTTGAGGCAACCCAATGCCAATTCTGCTTATCTCCATGAACACGTCCACAGTCAGGTGAACTCGACGCTGCTAGTGGGACTTGGACTCAGCGGTGAGGAGGAATGGAGAGCGATGGAGATGTGGCAGGAGGACGTAAATAGGAGATTGAGGATATGTCGATGTTGTCATGAAGTTGGTGAAATTGGTGTAGAGACTGTAGAGACAGTGTAGATTACCATTTTGGGGGAATGGTGAAGATGATGTTGGCCTAGATGTGGTAGGGTGTGTCCATGAAGTGAGATATGAGAACATGAGGATATGGGCCTCGCTATGAAGGGAGATGTGAGGATATGGGCTTCGCTCCATTGCACAACATCAGAGTATTGTAAACACATCTGGAACTAGAAATCCAAACACGTCCAAAATCTTCTACTGGTTCGAATGTACTTGGTCCTCTAGCAGTCCATATACGTGCAAGAGTGCGAGTGGAATGAGGCCCTTGCTGATTGGAAATCCTGTGACATAGTGAGATGTCGTTGAGTAATACGCGGGATATGTGAAATTGAAGGTTGTGTCGATGGAAAACAATTAAAGTTGAACTGGTAGAGTATTTTGCAAAATAGCTAGCATGAAGTCGGCAGGTGTTAGTGATTTAGTGTAGCTTAGTGAATTCTCCACGTCTCCATTGTGAAGTTGTTGTATCTGGAGTGATTTAGTGTAGCTTAGTGAATTCTCCACGTCTCCATTGTGAAGTTGTTGTATCTGGAGTCTGGACCATTTGTGTGACGTTGATGTGTGTGTGACATTGTGTTGATAGGGAAATCTGTGAAATAGTTCGAAGTCTGTTGCGCCATATTGTTGTGCCGCGTGGACCATTTGTGTGACATTCACCATTTGTGTGACATTGTGTTGATAGGGAAATCTGTGGAATATTTTCAAGTCTGTTGCGCCATGTTGTTGTGCCGCTTCGGAGGAGGAAGAAATGTGAAATACGTAGTGTTGTGAAGTCTTCTGGGAAAGAGAATGATAGGATGAGGGCGATTTTGTATGGGACACTGTTAGCGACTCTCTGTTATGATTGTTGATGATGTCACGTCGATTGTGAGAAGAGAGCAGATTTGTTGGGCATACTGTTAGCGATTCTCTGTTAAGATTGTTGATGATGTCACAGAAAAGAGTCGATTGAGAGAAGAGAGCGGATTTGTTGGGGAAACTGTTAGAGACTCTCTGTTAAGATTGTTGATGATGTCATGTCAATTGACAGAAAAAACAGTCTGGCACACATTGCAAGTGGAGTTCTTGAAAGAACTGCCCACCGACCGGCGACCGGTGGACTGTCTTCAAAATACCGGTGGACTGTATTCAAAATCTTACCGTCTTGGAGATCTTCTGTAACATTTGGGGTTCCCTGGTGACATTTACATCTGTGACTTTCTGTTGTGGATTGAAATTTGAAGCACTCTGTTATGCGGGACCTCGTATGAATTGTTTGTCGGATGGAGAGAGCACTGGTCATTTGCTAATCTGGTGGGGGTCTGGTGGGGTGTGGTGGGGTCTGGATCACACGGGTGTCTGCTGGATAGGGAGTATCAATCGTTCCTGAGTAGTGCTTGCTGATCCTTGATCACCACTGTTCGTGTCATCGAGGGTGTGTTGTGCTTGGTTCTGCCTTGGGTTTTATCGGAGTCTTTGATTTGTGTGTTTTCTACTTCATTCCGAGCTCTGGAGGGGCCACGGTTTGAAAAAGGACTTGGATTCCTTTGGATTTTTAAGAAAAATCGAGTCCACAGCTGGCAGGCTGGCGGAGGCAGGCAGGGACAGTTTTTGTGTTTCGTTGTGGAACGTGTGGGTTCAAGATGTTGGCAGTTATCAGAACCCACTGAAATTTAATTTGAAATGTTGTTGTGTCAACTTGTCTGAGTATGAATTTTGTTAGGCTGGCTGAGCCTTGCTGTGGTGCCTTGTTGGCCCTTTACAAAATGTGTCTCTTCCTGCGCTGAATGAACGGGATGATGGGATGGGACGTGGAGTGTTGTATTGGGTTAAGTCCGGTGACGTTACTATGGTCTGATTTAACTCCCTGGCTGCACTGTGTCGTTTAGAAGGCTTGCAGCGGGCCGGGATCCTTGTCATTTGTGGAAACAATGCCCCGCCACGGGCCTCCCGCAACATGAGCACCCATCAACGCCAGCATTGTTGTGGAGACTGTGGCAGACCTGGCAGCATACACCATGCCGACGGGAGTTCAAGTCTCAAAGTCTCCAGGCTTAAACCACCAGTACCGTTCCCAAAACTGCAATCGGGCCGCTGATCGAATTTATCATCGGCAGCCCGACCCTGCTTCTCAACTGGCATTACCTGGTCCAACTTCGAGAACCAAGCTGGGATTCTGAAGGTACTGGTAGCTCTAGCCAACAGTGAGTCAGTGACCAGTACTCCCTAGGCACTTATCTCTGGCCCAGGGGCTGTAATTTCCTGGAGGCTGGAAACACTCTGCATGGTAAAAATTTAATGTTAAAAGCAACAGAACTGCATGCCCCGAAAACTTTTCTGCATGCCCCAAAAACCTTTCTGCAGTTCTGGAGAGGGAGTCGTCAGTCTCCTCTCGGCTGGTGCCCCGTGAGCCATTTTGCTTTGGATGCTGAGCCCTGCAAATTGCGGCAGGGGCCACAGCCCATAAGAAGCTGTGTCACCTGTGTGTGACTTACTGGTGGTTATAAAACTTAAAGCACCACTCCCAGAGCCGTTTCTTGTACACAATGCACTGAATGCACAGAGGCAGGAAAAAAATATTGTGAAGTTGAGGCGCCAGGCTGAGCACGCCGGTTCTTTTTTTCTTGTTTGTTTTTCCTTTTTAGCTGGAGGTGGTGGCAATTTTCCTCCCGTAGCATAAACTTCACTAATCACCCGAAGAATGCAGTTTGTGAACGTTGTGGTGAATTGGTGTTCAAATATACGTTTGTCTGTGAAAGGTAGTGGGTTTTCCACGGCACTGCCACCTCTTTTCAGGCTTCCGCCTTCCCGGAAGTTTGTTCCCTTCAATTTCCGTTCAACAGAACACGGAAAATTCAAACAGTTTCGGTTCCCAACTTGCCACTGTCAGGTTGGGGCAGAATGCGTTGGGCAAATTTTGAAGTGAAACGCTATCCACAATTGACAATCGGGAATTGGGCAAGAAGTGGGATCCTGGACCTGGATGCCAATGGAGCAAGTTCTCCAGTGAAACGAAAGTGCTCTAATGAGTCTAATGAAGTGAGACCTACATGTATTTGTCCGTTAAATGACGAGTAATATGTGGATTCCAGGGAATGTCCGATGCTCATATCTACCTCATGATGGTAGATTGATGATAGAGGACTCCAATCGGGGAGTTGGAAGATATCAGACCTTTATGACCCTGTGAGTCTTGTTGAGTGTGTTCAGGGAATGTCCGATGCTCGTATCTACCTCATGATGGTAGATTGATGATAGAGGACTCCAATCAGGGAGCTGGAAGATATCAGACCTTTATGACCCTTGCGAGTCTTGTTGAGTGTGTCCAGCCACTCTGGCGGAGTCTGGCCACCATTGTCTTATGAAGAAATGTGGGTCGAAGGAGCTGGTCTTCATGAAGAGAGATGTGCCTCGGAAGAGCAATCACGGAGCCAGTTGGGAGTGACCTCTTTTGGAGACTCGTGTATCCATCTTGTTGGGTTTGCTGAACCTAATGTACTGATGTGTTCATAATTCTTGGAAAGCGAGGCCTTGTAAATCCTGGTCTGGAATCCGAAGACAAAACTCTCGACTAAGTCCATTTCCCAGCCCCTGCCCCGGCCGCCGGCCGGGCAGGCTGTGACTATTAGATGTGAAGTAGTATGACCTTTTTTTGAGGGGGTTGATGGATCATGGAAACTGTTTTGGGGGGTTCGTGTTGCTGTTGAGCAGCCCGTGCATTAGCCTGCATCAGGCTCCATCTGCTGCTGCATAGCAGTCTAGAAACCCTCACAAAACAAGGCTTAGCAGACTTGTACTCTCGGACCCCTTCCCCCTATTGCACGTATTCCTCTGAACCCGACCCCACCCAACCCGACAACCCACCCCCACACGTCCAAGACAGTCTGTTCAAACCTGAACCCCCGGTTACCCCCAAGAAAACAAGTGGAAAAAAGCGAGCGCCATTTGGTTGATGGGTTTTGTTTATTTTCTTATTGGACTTCAGCTTTAACTCCCTCTCTCTCTCTCTCTCTTATTGGACTTTAGTTTTAACTTTGTGTTTGAGTTGTAACGTCTCTCTCTCTCTCTCTCTTCCCCCAACAGGAAGCAAATGGCCTGTGGCTCAGTGGTTAAAGCACCGTATTGTGGTTAAGAGGTGCGGGTTCAAAACCCCACACCTTCGCGCAGAGACACCTGAGCGCATAGTCATTTGTACACCCCCTTGGGCTGACGCAGGTAAGCTATTATGGACACTGCCTGATCACCATGATCCTGTATGTTGGGTCTTGATCCTGTGTCGGTCGCTTGAGGATATTGGCCGTTGTTTGTTCTGATGATCTCCTCACACTGGCACATTGTACTACAGAACCGTTCGGGGTTGTAGCACACACAATAACATGCAGCTGTCACGTGATAATAGGTACAGGTTCGAGACTGGCTTGTGAATTTGGTGGGGGGTTCAACTTCCGAGCACAGATAGGCCTATCATTATCATATGCAACACACATATGCCATTGGACACATATGGAACACACCATAGGTCGTAGCTGTTACAGCATCATGGATTTACGTAAGGGCTCTTCAGGCACGGTCTTTGAACACATGTTAGCCTGGTTTTGGGCCTTTTGGCAGGTCCCTGACTGGGGTGTTGGTAAGTGGGAGCTTCCAAGTCGTCAGGCTAGTGACAGGGCGCCATTGGAACACAACTACTGATTGCGATAGCCGGACCCCAGTAGCACCCGCTCCTGCATGGGCACACCAGGCTTGACACATGCACACACACGCACGCACACACACACACACACCCTCTGGGCAACCAATGTCCATAACACGAAGATGAGAATCACCATCAAGAAAAAAAAGATATCGTGATGTAGGATAGGGGTCAGTGCAGAATGCCTGCCCTGAGAACCACACGTGACGGTTTCCCGTCATGCAGCGCGCCCCCCAAAACCTTAGCCTTGTTTGTGGGCTCGGGAAGGGAAGCTGACAAACAGCACACACACACACACACATGCATGGCCTGTGGGCATACACATAGGCTATAGACACACACACACAGCATATGCCAGGGATTGAGTGGGATTCCTGCCGGTTCAGGAGTGGGTGAGTGTGGACAAGTGGGATCCTTAAGCCTTCAGGTCGGGCTAGGGATAGGCATCATGAAATAGCGCTACGGATATCCGCCCCCCCCTGCGTAGCCATCGGATCTAGCATGGCGGCCGAAATAGAACCAGGAAGGGCGGCCTCCTGGGAAGCTGTCTGGTTCCGGCGCTACCATGAAGGCAACCCATGGTGGTCGGAGTCTGGCCTCTAAAATAAAGACGAGGTAGCCTCTTCTACAATCAGGCCGGAGGCCGGGTGAGTCCCCACAACACCCCCCCTGAGCCCCCTCCGCTTTTTTTCCGAATCCCTTTTTCCTAATGCCTCTGTGGCTGCTGGAAGGTCTGCAGTGCGGCAGAAGTAGGACCCCTACCGTCGGAGAATCTGATCATGAGAAACAGGAACTCGAAGGGGCTCCTGTGGTCCCTGTGCCACCCCTGGACCTTAATCCCTGATACTGGTCCTCCTTTCAGACGCCTGGAACGAGTTCTGCTGGGGCTGTTCAAAGGTGTTTGGACAGACTCTTGAGTCTGTTTCAGCTGTTTCGACGGCCTGTCTGCTAACTCCACAGATTACTGTGGTAACATAACAGTTACTGAGTTGTCGTTACTGAGTTGTTGTTACTGTGGTAAAGTAACAGATTGAGTTGTTGGGAAAAGAAAAGGGTAATGAATAATACCAACTATTATCTATTTATGGCTACTAGTGAGATTTTTCTCACAACTGTGCTGACATCTGTATATAGAGACTCGGAGAGGGTGCGGAAGTTTGCTGCTGCTACTCTGCAGGTTGCCATTGCGATTCACTGGGCTCAAGGCCGTCAAGGCTGTCAAAACGGACTCTGTTTGGATGCTATGGAGCTTTTTTTTTTTTTTTTTTTTTTTTTTTTTGGGAAGTATGGAGCATTTTGGTCCACAAGGGCACAGAAATGGACAGGAACATAAAAGAGGGGAAACGGAAAAGAAATTGACCCAGGTCATTAATGCTGCAGTAGTTCGTACTGTTGTGTACGCGTTTACTGTAGCAGTTAGTACAGTACTGTATGCAGATCATCTGTGTACTGTACGAAGGCGTAACATATGGTGTGTACTCTTATGGTCTGGTATGTATACCATACTCTGTGCGGATGGAGAGTACGTATATGCCGGGGCGTGCAGAAAGGTTTTTGGGGCATGCAGAAACTGTTTCAAGAATGGAAGGACACGTCCGACACGATGATCATAGCAGTTTGCAGTGGCTGCGTCACTTTTAAACCGTACACTAATATGTAGTACTATCCGAATTAAACTTTAAACCTTGAGAAAAGCTTCACAAACTATGATGGAGCATGCCAGTGAACTAGAAATTGATTGCATTTTTGTGCGGAAATTGTGCCTTAAACGTTTGTGTGCCTTTGCAATCACCTCAGTGGCCTTCACACAATTCGTCAATAATATTTGACTATGCTTAGGACCTCAGGTTGGGCCTGGTTGTAACAACTTGAAGACGAAAGCGCCCAAGGCTGATATTGATGTAACAAGACAGACCTGGAGATGCACAAGCAGCAGTGTCAGCGAAGGAGATGTCAGCAGCAACAATTGCAGCTGTCGCAGCAGAAAATTAAGCAGCAGCAGGCTAGCAGCGGCAGCAGCGGTGATTTCCGTTGGTGGTTTCTTTTTTGAGGACCCCCTCTGGGCTTGTATTAGAACCTTGTCATTAGTATAATGGATTGATTCAATGACTCGGAGTCCGCGAAGTGGAAAATGAACCAGGATATGTCTTATGCAGAAGCAACTAGGATATGCCTTAATATGCAGAAGCAACGAGGATATGCCTTATGTAGACGTAAATTCCTAAGTAAAAGTAGCTAGCAAGTAGGAGCATACCATTTGATGGAGCGACTTGACAATGTGGCAAAATAGAGTAACCCACCTCTAAAAGATACCATGGGAGAACAGGGGCAATGAAATTAGAGAGCAGGTTTTACTACAGCCATGTCACTTGCTGATGACATGTGATAGGGAACAGGTTTCACAGGTTTCACCATGCGGTAGGGGTTTCTTTTTAATAAGTTCCTTATCACTGGCTATCAGTAATCAGTGACACGGTTGTTACAGTAGCAAACCGAGTGTTTGACTGGGTTGCCTTGTTTTGCAATTTTTTTGCAGGTTGGGTAGGTCTATCTTGCTACAATGCACTCTTTCAAATAATGATTACAGGTCAGACGGCAGGCAGGCAGGACTCGGAAGACAGTAGAATCTCAAAAATTAGTAGTCGATAGGCAGATGGACAGTAGAATCTCATGAACTATGGTCAACAGGCGGACATACAGACATAATTATTGCCTTCGAATCCAAACTGGAAGAAGAGCAGGGCTACGTAACCCCATTAACATTGCTCAAGCATGTTTCAGTCTTGTGTGCTTAACCCTTGATTTCACTTTCGAGATTCAGACAATCTGAGATTATCTGACTTTGGCGTTTTGACATTCAGCCTAAGGCAGCTCACTTAGGTCATCAGAACTAGATCCTTACCTTCGTATATCCGGTAATGTCACACTCGTCAGAGCCAGCCAATGGGGCTCCTTGATGCCAGGCAACCCCACCTTGGCCTATGCTACGTCAGCCTTTTTGTAGATTCCGAACTTGTTTGCTATGAAACCGTTTGAGCGACTTGAGCACTGGCGTGAGCTTTTCCCCCGGCTCTAGCAAGTTGCACGCGTGACCCCCAGAAGATGAGCGTGTGTGCCTGGCAGGGGCCCACGCATGGAGGGGAACAAATGGGGGGTTGGTGTGGGTGGTCAAGGGGGTCCGAGGGTTGTTTTGGGGCTTTGGTGGCTGAGGTGGGCAGGGGGGGGGGGGGGGGGGGTTGGTGGCTTCGTGCCTGCCTTCGGTCGGCGTCCGATATCGACGAAATACGCCTTACACGGCGCACCATAAACCATGCCCAAATAGCCAAACACAGGCTTTCTGGAAAAAGTAGAAACCACATGACTGATAATACCAAATCCAGGAAGAATCTCTCTCTCTCTCTCTCTCTCTCTCTCTGAGACATGTATATTGTCGTTGTCTTCTCCTTCTGGCTACGGTTTACCAGGCAGCTCTGTTTGACTATATATACCACAACTTCGCTAGGCTAAGCACCCTGCTACGGTTCTCTCCGGTGACTGTCAGCTCGAGCGGCAGTAGTTGGGGCCGTCACTAGACGACATGCTTTGCCTCTAGTGCCAGCGGCGTGGCTGGAGTGTCGTTTTTAGTTGTGACAAGCCTTGCTTTGTTTCGTGGGTGTCTTTCTTGCGTGTGATGGGTGTGAACCGACAGTCTGTAGAGTTTTCCATCTGGCGTGGGTGAGTGATAGTCTGCTTTTGATTTCGTCACAGCTACCTTGAGGCCAGTGGTTGCTGCCCAACTCAGGCCCTCAGGGTATCGTTGATGCTTAACCACAGCCCGGGTTAAGGCGGATTATCACAGGTTAACTTAAAGGCGGATTATCATTTACTGTAGTGTAATCAGTTAGGGGATTCTGCAGACTGTGGAGAGTTCAGCCTCCTGATGAGCCGGTGAGATTCCGACGAAACAGTTTGTGGCAGCCCCTCGTTTGTTGCCCTCTTCTCCCTTTTGTCCCTCTCCGCCACCTACGGTTTACCGGGCAGCTCTGTTTGACTATATATGTCATCAAATTAGAGGGAGAAGAGGGCCAGGGCTGTGGCAAACTATATTTTCAACTCTCGTATTCGTATAGCCGCAAATGGGCCCCGCGACCCTTACATCATTCATTCACTGCGGCCAAACAGGCTAAGCAAAGCTCCTTGACTTTTTTTTTAATCACAAAATTAATATGAAAGAAGTGATCCTGGCATAGAGTTAAAAACTGCGGAAGCTCTATGGGAAAATAACTCTATGCCAGGATCACTTCTTTCATATTAATTTTATGATTAAAAAAAAGTCAAGGAGCGCGGAAATGAAGTAAAACGAAACTGAGTTTTCCCATAGAGCTTCCGCAGCTTTTGAGTGTTCGCTGCCTGTGGGGGGCATGTCTAATGGGCTGACGGGGGCGCCTTGTCTGATTTGTTTTTTCTCTTTTCTCTTTTATCCCGTAAGGAATTCTGATGTGACCCTCAGCCAAAAGTTGTTTGCATTACAATTCTACACAACACTGTTTGATTCTAGGCTGTTTGTCTGACAGCCGGGCATGCCAACCGACTTCAGCGACTTGTGCCCGGATAAGCACCTGGGTGCCCGGGGTCCAGAATACGAAAACAGACTACTTTTACCTCTGGGTGCGATCAGAATTCCTCACGGAATGGAAGATAAAAAGGAGAATCAGACTAAGGCAACCCCCTTTAGACCCTTTAGCCCCTTACGAACCAATTTATAACCCCCCTTCCCCCCCGACCGTAAGTTCAGTTCAACACGTGTTGTTCCGGTCCAGCTGTTTTTCAAGAGCTGCAGTCGAGTTCAGCAGGCAGTGTGGATGCCTCAAGAGTGAAGACGTAAGACCGCAGCCGTCGTTGTGCAAGTTAAGGCAGCCTACCTACCTCTTGAGCTGTCCCAGTATTGAAGCTTGAATTGTGCCGGAGCTGCAAGCTCTGCCTCAGTTAGGACGCCTCTAGGGGCGACATCTTAACAAACCTGTGCTAGCAGCATTCACAGATTTTTACAAATTCTGGCAGGCTGAGCTCGAGTTGTGTGGGAATTGCAGCTCGAATTGTCGGCCAGAATCACAGCTCAAACGATTCTGCCACAGCTGCTGCTTTAGGAGGTCTCAGAGGCGAAATCGTAAAGAACCTGCTGCCATCAGCGCGCACAGTTCTTCAGTTCGTGCTGACATCTCTACAATGATTCCTTCCACCGCTGAAATGTGCTGCTGTGGATCGAAGAGGGCAATGATTCTCGTCATCCGCAATTTCCAGTCTGAGACTCCCCACCACCCGCGTTATTCTGTGGGCATTTGTGTGTCCCTTGAGTGACTGAAAGAAGGTAGTGCCCCTGGTGGTCGAAGATGATACCCTTAACTGTTTCTTCACTTTTGCTTCCCCTTTTCCCGATTTTTTGTTTCTCATCCGCTTGGATGCCCTCAAAAGGGTCACGACTCACGACCATTCAGCAGATTACAGAGCCCTCAAGCTCCTAGTACTCTCCCACTACACATCCAATGGTGTCATCCTTCAATAACATGATCACAGTATGAAGTTCACCCATTTGCAAACAGATCTGACTCTTCCTTTTTTGTGCTGTGTCCAGTGTTACATGCCCTGACGGTGGGCGCCCCTCGACTGGTCGGATGCCGACCAGCCGACCGGTCGGCTGGTCGGCGCCTACCGGTCGGGGGTTTGCAGCGCCCCCCCCCCCAAAAAAAAAAAAAAAGAAGGGTCCAGAACCCCCAATAACCTCACCCACAACCCCATACCCGCACCCTATACACCTATACACCCCCTCAAAACTCCCAACTGGCCCCAACCCTGTACCCCCCAAAGGATCCCCCACACCACCCATACCCAAAAGTTTCGCAGTGCATTTGGGCTGTACTCAGCAAGCGCAGTACAGGCCCCAACTCAGATTGAAAAAAAAATCAGTTGATGACCGTTTTCTGACCGGTCGGCAGATCGCCGACCGATCCGCCCCAACTGGTTGGCTGCAAAACGGTCGGCGGTCGGGATCGGCGGTCGGCAGCTATGCAACCCTGGCTGTATCGAAATAGATTTCACTCTTCCATTTTTCTGCTGTAAGGATATATATGCTTTGATGCACTATGTCGGCCATGATGCTAACAGAACAGCAAGTCAGACAGATCTCTGCCGCCACATTTGGACGATTATGCGCTCGCAAAAGAGGAAGGAGGGAGGAACATATGGGCAATCTCTCTCTCTCTCTCTCTCTCTCTCTCTCTCTCTCTCTCTCTCTCTCTCTCTCTCTCTCTCTCCATTGATGAAATGTAATGAAAGAACTGAATCGGATGAGATGTGCACGTAATGCTGCACATCACTCAGGATAAGAAGGTGGCCATAGAAAGTAAACAGCAGCAAGGAACACAAATGATGTGACAATAGTGACATACAGAAGAACTGTACATCAAGCGGCATGAGACCCAATTGATGTTTCATCACTCGCATGTCTTCATGGAGCCAGCTGAGCTAACCCAGGCATATTTGCGAAGAATGCCTTCATTACACCGTTTTCTGGCGCTTCATGTCTGATTCAGGGACAGTACCATATGTCCCAGAAATAGCATATTGGGGAAGACTGCATTCATTACACAGTTTTCTGCCGCTTCACGTCTGATTCCGGAACAGTACCATATGTCCCACAAATAGAGGACAGCAGCACCTGCACGATCCCAAAGAACAATGGACACCGAAGGGAATGAGATCAGGCCATGAATGTAATTCGCTCAAATAAATATTAATACTAGTATAATTATTAATTATTACTATAATACCCATTTGTGTATTAACAAGAAAAAGAATTGCCGGTGATAAGCAACCAGACTGACGCCCCCCAGAATAGAAGGGGCTTGGCTCCTGTTGATGTAGCTCAGTGGTTAGAGCACCGGTTCGAAATGCGCATTGTGGTATAAAGTTGCGGGTTCAAAACTTTGCAACCTTGCGCATGGATACCGGCAGGGCGTTACATCAGGTAAGCTATTACAGACACTGCCTGCGCACCACCCAAGGAGTAGCCCATGGTTGTTGTATGTTGGGACTGGGCGATGGTCGGGTATCCTAATATTCTTGATCTATGGGGTGGTCAAGCGACTGCTGGGTGGTTTGTACAGTCTGGTTTACTCGAGCCCAGTGGAGCACAGCTACAGACTATTTCACAGTATAGGTCAATAGGTTAAGGTCATTTGCACGATTCACATGAGGTCCTGTGTTCGATACCAGATTGTGACTTAGGGCTCGTCATCCTCCTCGTTCATAGTCAAGGGCTGATTCTGGCAAAGCAGTTCCTTAGTACAGGGTGTCAGGGTGTCAGGAGATACTGCACTTTACTGCGGTGCCGGAACGACCTCCAGGGACATACAAGGGTACGGAGGATTGTCAGCTCTCACAGATTACCATACAACACAGAGTTAATAGATTCTCCAAGGCGAATAGATACAGTTGGCTATCCTCCTAGTACGCAGCTTAGGGTTGAGGCTGCATGGCAGTTCCTTAGTACGGGATGTCAGGAGATACTGCAACTTACCGCGGCGCCGGAACGGGCTCCGGGGATATCCGAGGGAATGGAGGATCCCCACCTCTCTCTACCATCGACACAATAGAAACTGTAGTAATACAACATAAGGATAAGAGATTCAGTCCATAACTCATGACTCGCGGTTGGCTATCCTCCTAGTACGTAGCATAGGGTTGAGGCTGGCATAGCAGTTCCTTATTACGGGATGTCAGGGGTGTCAGGAGATACTGCACCGGGCTCTGGGGACACATGAGAGAACGGAGGATTCCCAGCTTCCTATCATCACCACACAACTGGGATAGACGGGAGCCACTGTGCACCCTCATGAAGACCTGCATAAAATGTTCAGACCTAGCTCCCGAAGTCCCCGTGCGATTGGGCTTGCACGGCGGCTGCTTCAACCAGCGCTGAGCAGGGGGTAGGGGTCTCTGCTTAGCCTGGGTGCCTGCAACCGCTGTCCCAGGTCTCCCCGCCAAGATGGTGATGGGTGATGGTCCTGGGTGGTTAACACTAGGGTAGGACAGGGGGGAGTGGGGGTGCGCCAGGGAAAAAAAGATGAGAGGAAGGGTGGGTGGACAACCGAGTGGCCGAGTACTGTGGGTGACTGCCATCTGTCTAGTATCCCACCTTTACAATAACATGGAAAAAAAAAAAAAAAAGTAGTATGCCGTTCCTCCCTTGTTACGTGACTAGATCCTCAAGTCAAGGGTTCGGCCGTTCCAACTCTCTGGTCTGATCTCCCCCCTTCTTTGGATGTACAAACATGCTTGCCAGGGTGAGATGAGTCAATCAAGCAATGAAACAAGTTTACCCCCATAGCAACCAACATCGAGCAGACAAGATCAAATTCACAATCAACGTGGCCAGCCTGTGGGCAGCTGGCGCAAAACCACAATCGATGTGGCCAGCCTTTGGGCGGCCAGGCGGGGGGCATGGGTAATGGGCACCCTGAAACGTAACCTATTATAATTTCTAAGCGTTTTGCCACTTTGTGAGGAGGGCGGGGGGTGACCCAGTCTTTGAAACTTGCAACATTAAGATTTTTTTTGTTTTTTTTTTTGTTTTTTTTTTTGTTTTTTAAAGGAACAATAAGGTCTTTTGAATGCACGCATGGAACCAGCGGCCTAGCTCAGTTGGTAAGGCGCGCAAGTGGCATTCAGGAGGTCTTGGGTTCAATCCCCATTGGCCTCATGTACCTTCCTGGGCAAGCTTGGCGCCCGCCACCTAGAGATATACCGTTCGTCCCCCTGAGTGGCATTGAGCAGAGACTGCTGATGTTCATAGGGGGAGGGGACCGGAGGGGAGGCACAGCGACTGGCCCATCGAAGAAGCTCGGTCCTGATGCTACCGGCTGACCCCTGGCCCGGTATCACCCACCTGCTGTAGCAGGTATCACACCTGCTGGTGGGTGCAGCTCCCACATGTTCACTCGTTGGAGGCTTGAGCACGGATGTGGCTGCTACGGGGTTCCCAGTAATACTATAACGACAATAAAAAGAAAAAAGGCCTGAAAGGCCGTCCTGTCCAGATTTGACAGGTAATTGAATTGGTTGGGCTTAAAGAATTAGCCTTTAAAAAAAATAAAAAAATAAAAAAAGGACGCATGGTGAAAAAGTTCATTTATTTTTCAGTGCCTCACCACACTGATATCAATATTGATGCATGCAACACGACCTGCCAGTGGTTCGATATCAACGTTGATACCGATCTGGTGTTGCATGTTTTAACTTTTTTTATTAATTTAAATTTGAACCATTTCCGTGCGCAGGGGCCATGCAATTTTCTGTGTATCGTTCCAATTTTAACGGATGTCCCAAAGGACTCATGTTGTAGCTTTTAACAAAAGCCACACGGCAATTTTCCGACCTCAAAAAACTCCATTCAAGAAGGACTGGAAAACTGTGAGAAACAGGTTGAACTTCTTAAAAAAAAAAGAAAAAAGAAAAAAAAAGGAGGGGGGGAGGTCCTGTTAGAGCAGGGAAGGGCATGCTTACCTGGTCTACGGATTCGTCTGGTACCACTGCGTAGCGCTCTGACGGTGCAATCCACGGAGCAGCTGTACAGAATTGACATGATAACAGAAAAACAACTCAAGATATTAGGATTGTCACACAGTGACACACAAAGTTTTAAGAAGGAAAAGGGCTGAGAATCGCCCTCGCCTCTTATATCTCTTGGCACCGACGGAGCATGCCGCACCCCTCTTCATCAACACCGCCCCTCACAGTGGCTTATGTGTCTGCTGCACATTTTGCTGCCGACAGGCAATCGGCACCGCACAGCTACTGGTTTTATGAACCTTTATCAGAAAACCGAAGCCTTGGTGAGAGAAAAATGAACTTCAAGCCTTGGTAACAAGAAAGGCTTATTCAGCGGCTGCCTCCTCGGATGCCACATGACTCTCGAATCTCGATAGATTAACGACATTCCCACTGTGTCTGTCCACCATCCTGCGAAACCACAGCCAAGGGAATGGGCTTGGAGGAATCGGCCGGGAAAGAAGACCTTGTCGAGTTTGTCTCTGCAAAGAGAAAAGGAAAAGAAAAAAAGGGCTTGTTCCCAGGCTGCCAGGCGGGCCGGCCCGGTCACCCTGTTTTCCAGGGCGTCCTGGCCGTGCAAGGACCAGGGGACGGGCCCAGCAGGAAAAAAAAAAAAAAAAAAAACAAAAAAAAATCCGAAAACAAACTATGTTGTGCAGAAAAATAAAGTGAACAACTTTTGCCTCAGGGTCAAATCGAAATCGGAAATTCTTTACCAAGTTGAGAATAAAAAATAAAACCCAAATAGAATGCGCCCAGTCATTGGTAGCTGCCCAAGATGACAACAAAGGACCAGCGCTGCACGGCAGCAGACGAAGAAAGGGCCCATTTCCCCCAGCCGGAACAGGGGCCGGTGGGGGCCAAGGCCCGCTCTCTTCCATTCTGCAAGAACCTTCAAAACAGCCTGGCTACCCCACGCCTCGGAGGGGACAGGCAACAGGCAACAATAAGGACAGGAAAGCCCGAGTACATGAGTCAGTTGTCTGATCACTGTCAGTCACGGGAATGTCTTGTAATATGAGGGACACTGGACCCCGGTTACCAGCAGGTGCTGCTCCCCACCAATAGATGGAGCCTTCAACCGCGGAGCCACTTAGGGGGGCTGCTCATATCACCTCCCTAAGTGGTGTTGAACAGGCAATGGGCATGAACAACACGAATGACAAGACTCGACAAATGCAGACAGTACACGACCGAACAAGGACAAGACTCGACAAAATCCCCATTGGCACAAGGGTGAGGACAATAGCGTGAAATATGACCAAGCTGCCCACAATTATAACACTCTCGGGCAGAAGGGACAAGACCACCAGGATTACGAGGAAGATTACTATTGACGTGAAACCTATTTTAACTGTAGTATTTCCTCTACGTCGGTTCCTCCCTAAGTGGTGGCCACGACTCTAAGTTTGGGAAGAAAAAAAAAAAAAAAAAAAAAAAGAAGAAGAAGAATGCGCCCAGTCATTATCAGAGCACTCTGTTCAGGTGAGGAAGTGCTATTTGGCAATGTGTTTGTGTGCTTGGGAGGCCATTAGGAATCTCCTCTGCGGTGGTGTCCAGATGCATTCTTCTTTGGCTTCTTGGCGATGATTGGCTTGCATCCTCTTCAATCAATACCATTCACAATTTTACTTTTCCAGTTTTCAATTCAACTTTCCTAGGAGCTTAATCAGCAGGTGCGAAGCAGAAAAAGTCATAACGTGATATCTCTCCTAAGTACCCAAATTCATGCCGTGAAATGGAAGGCACAAAATCAAGTCTCTTGGGTTAGGAGCGAAGCGCACGGAAAAGTATACCGAAGAAGGATACACCCGAGACTCATTCTCCACTGAGCCCCTATCAAGGAGGTTGTTAAAAAAAAAAAAAAAAAAAAAAAAAAGGTTCCAATTTCCCTCTCTCGACCTTAGTCAATAGTCGCTTGTGGGCGAGTCTGTAGTCATCAAAATGTTAAGCATCCGCTTCAGGACTATGGGGGGGCGGGGGGACGCGGGGTGGGGAGAAGCGAGGGGAAAGTTCCAAGAGAAGTCAACGGAAAAAGTCCGAGAAATTCGGAAAAACAAAATTTCAAATCTGACCTTTTTTAGGCTTTTTTTTTTTTCTTCTTTTTTTTTTCAAGAGACTCCCAAAACAACCCACACCACCCAGCCCCATCTCTTCTGGCAGGTGTCAGTCCGGTATCGTTCTACTCCAGGCAACTGATTAGTAATTCCCTTTTTGTTTTGAAAGCTGACGTATTAAACTTTTCAAACCTCCAAAAGAGGCCAAAACAACAAAAACTATCCATATGCAAAAAACTGAAAGGTAGTGACTTCATTATAGAAGTATACCAACCAGTTTCAAAACTTCCAGCCCCTATCAAAATCACAGAGATGTGTGAAAAAGTAAGTTGGTAGTATGTATAGCCACTTTTGTCGTCCGACTGCTTTCTGGATCTGAAAAACAGAATCGTTTTTTTTTTTTTTTGATAACAGAAACTTAACAAAGCCCATCACCTGGCCGGCGCTGGAGCAAGGTGGTGCAACTCTGTAACCTAGCCTGATGGGAGCATGAGGCCTGGAAGAGCTTCGGTTTCTGCTGAAAACAGCCATGCTGGTGGTGGTCGCAGGTGAACTGAACAGGTTTCACCTATCTGATTCCTGGTTGGGAGGCTGGTTGACACACATTTTCTGAAGGTTTCTGAGTTTTCCTTTTCGTTCAATTGTTCTCAGCCGAAGCCGGGTAATGGCCCCGGTAACTCTTTTTTGTATTCTGATAAGGGACGCTGGGCCCGGTTCCCAGCCGTGTTGCTCCCCACGAATAGATTGGAGCATCGTCTCAAAAAAAAAAAAAAAAAACAAAGCCCATCACGAGCAAGCAAAGATAAACTCAAGAGAAAAGCTGAAAACATACTCCGGATGCACGAGCCACTATCAAAGCTGCTTGTAGCCTTGTACATATAATAATAAAAAAAAAAGTCCGCCAAATCGGTTATAACTTGTGACATACAAGACCCCTATTCCAGGCGGCAGACGACCCCCGTACCCATTCGTCCCGAGAACAGACACAGACTCCCTGCTCCACAAGGTGCCACTTTGACTTCACACTTACATCAGACCCAACTCGAAAGAGTCGAAAGTTTGAAACTAGAAACGTGAAGGTGCCGCTCCCCACCAAAAGATGGAGCCTTCAACAAACGGAACTGGTTCACGAGGATGGTCCCATAACGTGGGTATGTAATCTCCCAGAAGAGGAAGTTCCGCCAAAAAAAAAAAAAAAAAAAAAAAAAAAAAAAAAAAAAAAAAACAAAACAAAACAAAACCAAACAGAAAAAGGAAAAAAAAAAAAAAAAGAGACGTGAAGATTGAGTGCCACGATGATGAATTGTCATGAGATAGGTGATGACAACTTCCACAAGGGGATTTCTGTCCTAACTTTCACGACGGGATTTTCGATGTTTCCTTCTCTCAAAAACTCTGTTTGTCAAGGACTGCTATGCAGCGGTCTGCATTTTTCATACTAAGAGCTTTTTCAAAAAACAAAAAAAAACAAACAAAAAAAAAAAACATGCATGATGCACCTTCAAAAAAAAAAAAACATCTGCTTTGGACATATTCCTTCAGGTACTTGGGCAGAAAGTTCCCAGCACAATTGAACCGAAACACCCAGATTTCGCCGAAGATATTCGTTGAACGGTAGCCTACCTCCTCCGATCCGTGAGTGGTTGGATTTGCCGATTGTTTCACAGGCTTCACCGTCTTTACTCAAAGCTTCGATCATCTTGGGACTACTCCTGGTGCACAGACCATCACGCATTGTCGCCCAAAGGAGTGAGTAGAGCAATTTGTCCCCATATTAGTTTTTTCAAGTTTTTTTACTTTTTTTTTTTGCATTTTTAACCCAGCCAGATGTTTTTGCAGCAGCGCAAGATGGGAAAAAACAAAGAACAAAACCTGAAAATCCCCATGAGAATACAAATGCCGCCTTGAAGGCAATAAAACAAGTTCTATAATGGACCATCCTCAGCGCCCTCCTGCGCTTGCTTAGTTCAAGCTTCCGCTCCTGAACATGGATCGTAAATGTGAGAAGGAAAAAAAAAAAAAAAAGGTCTTATATACACTGACAGCACTGCCAGCTCTTCTCATTCATGTCAGATTATTTGAATTATTTGCTAGGCTTTTTGCCTGGGCGCCTGGGTGCCCAGGCACCCCACTTGTGCCCGGGTACACAGCCGGGTGACCGGCCCGGCACGAACCCCAGGCAGCCCCAGCTTATTTTGCATGTACCTTTTTCTTTTTGTTTCACTCGAAATAGTACTAAATTCTCTTTATATTTGGCACGTACTTAACATCAGTCAGATAGGTGTCAGCTTAGAGAGGTGGCATGGCACTACCAAAAGGATGATTTTTTATTCCTTTTAATGTAATTTAAAAACACAGGCCACGTTGGCGAAGATTTCACAACGGCCTGTGGAGCAATGAAAGTCTCCAAACATGACCGCCGTTTAACTTGATAAAAATGGTGACCGACGTCAGATATGAATTACCTTAGACATGTGGGACGACCGTTGTCCCACATGTCTAAGGTAGTTCATAAGTATTTCATTCTATTTCATGGCATTGATGCAGTATGCGAAGGAATTTGAACTTAGATCTGTATTACAACAGGTAATGAGTTTATGAACTGAGCTAGGCGCGATGGTTAGTAGCAAAGCAGCCGGCGTTGTTGATTTGGTTCTTTTCTGAGTGATGCCTTGTGATGTCCTGCAATTATCTTGTCTTTCTACATCTCTTGTGTTGGTCTGGTTGCGGTTAATGGAGATTGTACTCAACTTTGTTTGTTTTTTTTTTTTGTCCGTGTGTGTGTGTGTGTGTGT